TTTTGGTACATTTCTAGTATTTCTGAAGACTATTTACATATATTCAAGACTCAAATCAACCAAGTCAAGGACCATGTATAGTGTATTGTTGTATTTTTAAAGGAATTATGCGATTTTCGTACATTTCTAGTACTTTTGAAGACTATTTACATATATTGAAGACTAAAATCAACCAAGCCAAGGACCATGTATAGTGTATCGTTGTATTTTTAAAGGAATTATGTGATTTTCGTACATTTCTAGTATTTCTGAAGACTATTTACATATATTCAAGACACAAATCAACCAAGCCAAAAAATGGGGCACCTGTCCTTTTAAGTGAAGATCCCCTCCTAATTGTAATGATTATATTTTAGGTGAGAGTTGGAGAAGTTGGCGGTAACACGTTAGGTTTTTACGGCGGAATGTTTTCACCTGACGGCCTGAAAATCATAGCTCATGGCTATCAAGGCGCTTTTCATCATTGGTCTTTAAATCAGGTAGGTTTTAGAATATATTTATACTATAAGGAGGGTTGTAGCGTAATAAGTTAGGGTGTTGGAATCTTTTCATCATTGGTCTTTTGATAAGGTAAGTTAGGAGGGTTGTACCCGGGTCTGTTAGGTTGTTGGAATCTTTGGTCTTTTGATAAGGTAAGTTTTAGAAGATATTTATACAGTTAGGAGGGTTGTAGCGCAATCTGTTAGAGTGTTGGAATCTTTGGTCTTTTAAAAAGGTAAGTTTTAGAAGATATTTATACAGTTAGGAGGGTTGTAGTGCAGTCTGTTAGGGTGTTGGAATCTTTGGTCTTTTGAAAAGGTAAGTTACAAAAGATATTCATACAGTTAGGAGGGTTGTAGCGCAATCTGTTAGGGTGTTTGAATCTTTGGTCTTTTAAAAAGGTAAGTTTTAGAATATATTTATACAGTTAGGAGGGTTGTAGCGCAATCTGTTATGGTGTTGGAATCTTTACATGACATCATTTAATAGCTTCATAAGCTTTGTGGACTCTCTGAAATACATCTTCACAATGTTGAGGCCCTACGAATTTTTCTTGATATTGACAATACAATACTTTATGTCTTTCTCTGGTGGCGGCCATTTTGAAAATGTTGAAGATCTAGATTCTATAGACCATTTGAATTTGATTTGTATTAAAACCCTTTTATTTGTATTTAGACAACCAATCAATGGAATCCGTCTGTCACTGGTGGCGGCCATTTTGAAAATGTTGAAGATCTAGATTCTATAGACCATTGTCTTTGAATTTGATTTGTATTAAAACCCTTTTATTTGTATTTAGATAACCAATCAATGGAATCCGTCTGTCACTGGTGGCGGTCATTTTGAGAGTGTTGAAGATATAGATTGGGATCGTAGTGAAGGAGAGTTTCTGTTGTCAACCAGTGCTGATCAAACCACCAGACTACATGCTCCTTGGGTCCATAGCAACAGACCGGTAAGTAGATTGACTTTACGGTCCAAAATCCTATGTGTATCAGGGACACTGATAGCATCAATTTACATCATTCTAATTTTCAATCAGATGTCTGTGGTTCTTGTTAAAGAGATTGTAAAGAGGTTTTCTATATTTTTTATGTGTATCAGAGACACTGATAGCATCAATTTACATCATTCTAATTTTCAATCAGACGTCTGTGTTTCTTGTTAAAGAGATTGTAAAGAGGTTTTCTATATTTTTTATGTGTATCAGAGACATTGATAGCATCAATTTACATCATTCTAATTTTCAATCAGACGTCTGTGGTTCTAGCAATTCCACTAAAACTAAGTGTTTGATGACTGACATTGAAAAGTGCTAATGGATACAGGCCCTGTGAGCTACAGACTGTACTCGTTAAAGATCCCTCGACAGTTGGAAATTGAAAAAAGAGCAGGCTAATGCTGCTGTCCTGGCAAAATTTCCCTCATTGCACACTACATGGTGTTGCCTGTCTTCATCAGCCAAATCAGGTGCAGAACAGTAGGACG